AGAGAAGTTTGCCAACAATAACAATATGTACAATATGGGAAACAAACAATATGTGAATCACTGCTAGCTAGGTAGAGATCCAGACCCTTTGGAAACACTCATAAGACTATAAAGAGAATCAGAACAGGCAGGAAAAGGAAAGTATTGTAGATGATTGAGTGATTCTTAAAGGATAGATAGAAATTTGCCAGGGTGATAAATAGATGAAAGGCATCTCTTCTGTTCCTCATGGCTAAAAAAAAAAAGAAAAGTAGAAGAAGATGGCTTCACCTCTGGGCCCTTCGTAACATTTAGCTCTCATAACAGCAGATTTAAGCTAATTAGTACATTTTTATCCCCTTCGGTCACCCACCCTGAACAAATTTGAAAGACTTTCCTGGATCCTCTTCCCTCAATCTTTTATCCCACCTGCACATGACAGGTGATAGTCAGGTAGTAGGGCCCAAGTTCTTATAAACATGGCCTCTAAATTTTGTGGGAGAGTAAAAGACTCTCAATAAGTTTTCGTGGTCACAACCACGAAGGGCACTTGAGTAACAACAGATGACTGTCGGTGTAACATGAAGGTTACAAATAATGCCCACTCGCTAGCAGGTAGCTATAACTATCCCATTGTCTCCCACTCAAGAAAATGTATTAAAAACAGTGGAAATCAGGGTGACTTTTATATAGACAATCTTGACTCTACCATAATTAATTTATAATTAATGTACTCAAACACACCAGCATTTTAAACATTAATAACATTACTCATTATCAGAGCCATCTTTCCAATGGTTATTCCATGCCAGTCTGCTTGACACCATAGCCAGATGCTGGTTTGTCCAGTCTTGTTTGCCGCTTCTAATCAAAATACTGTATCTGCCTGGTATATCGAATAGCGGGCACCACACATTTTATGTCGTGGTCATGTTGAAAGGAAGAGAATGAAAGAAGCAGAGTGAGAGAATGTGAGAGTGGGCAGAGCTAAAGCTGAAAACTCTCAACCATTTCCTCCTTTCATTGAAGAAGGGAAGCGAGAAGGAGGTGATTAGAGACGGGGAGGAAGGGGTTTTACAAATATTGAGCACTTTAATTCTCAAAACCACTGTATGAAACAAGTGCTGTTAATATCTCACCTTACAGGCTTGTGAGAGGCTAGTAACTTGCCTAAGAGCACAGAGTTAGGGCACAGCCTTGAATTCTAACCTTTCTGGCTCCAAATGCCATTCCCCTGCAAGCTGGCCTCTGGGAGAACAATTTTCCTCATAAGAGTTTCCCTGTAGACTCCAGTCTACCATGCTATTTTATTTCTAAATGCTTCTACCTTCCCCTGGAAGGAATCCTAAGAGAGGAAGTCAACTCATTTCCCGTTGTTCTTTCACTTTTTGACTGCTCTTAACTTCACCCAAATCAATAGACTCATATCCTTCCACTACAGCTTTTCACCATCTGACAAGTTCCAAAGAGGCTGAAGCTTCCTTCGTCAACCTTAATAAGTAAGTAGTTAGAAATTTAGGCAGGTTTATGTTTGTGTAAAACCTACTAGATAGATTTGTTTTCTTAAAATAATCAGCATATATAAATTTTTCAGTTGAAAAATTTAAAGTCTATTGCTTTTTTATTCCAATTGTTATACTACTACTACCACTACTACTACTACAGTAAGGCAAGAATTGACTCCAAATGTTCATTTTTACTTATGAATTAGAGCTAGTTCAACTTCTAAAGTCTTCACATATTTCTGCTTCAAATAGCTTTGGTAAATAAAATAACCAAATAAAGCTTTAGTTGGCTTATATTGCTAAACAAATAAAACTGTAATAAAAATAAGCCTTCTATAAATATATAGTATGATTTTATTCTAAAACAATGAAATGTCCACCTCTTTCTGAGCTGTAACAAATAGATATTTTTATCATGATTGTGTGGCAGTAGAGGTAAAACATGGACTCTGGAGTCAGAATGTAAAAATTTGAAAACTGACTCTGCCCATTTTTTAACTGTATTTCTTTAGGAAAGTTACTTAACTTCTCTGAACATCAGTTAGATAAGTGAATGTTTAGTACGGTGTCTGATATATGCCCAACAAGACTTAGCTGCTATTAACCTGGAGGGAGTAATTACTACAAGCAATACCTCTAATTTAATTGAGAATTCTTGTAAAGAGAGAATAGTCCATTGACAAATTACCTCCAAATGTAATGAAATTTTAATAATACTAAATTTAACAATTAATGAAGACGATATAGCGCATTTTAGAGACATTTAATTAAACATTTATTATTTTACACTTGCAGCTTTCTTCTATTTTTCTGAGCCAATTTTTTTTTCTTTCTGATCTCACATTTTTATTGGCCTTTGACAACTTCATAAGGCCTAAACACCGTGTCTTTAGAACTTGGTGGAAAATGGCCTTGGCCAAGGTATATGAAACAGCTATGAACTCTAACCTTTCCAGTCCCAAATATTACTCTTGTGGTAGCCTGCCTCCTAGAGAACATTTGTCCTCAGCAAGAGTTTGGAAAGGTTTCTGGACATTTTGGAAAGATTACTAAATAGCAATTCAAAGAGGAGAGTAAAGCAAAATTCCAGCTATCATTGGTGAGCCAAAATTCTTAAATTACTTTTGGCTAAGTTCAGAGTTTGTACCAAAACCTGGGCCAACACTGACCCTGCAATTTGGCACAAAGAAGAGAAATAGTGACTTAGTAGAAGGTTGGAACTGGCATCAATCCAAGAAGGAATATCCTTTTGAGTAGAATGAGATTGCTCCTTGAGAAACATATGGGTATGGAGTCATTTAATTCCAAAATGTTCAATCTCTTGTGCTTGGAGAATAAAATTAAGTTTTTACCTCAATATATAAAATGGACAAACTATTGTCCAAAATATTTCAAAGAGCGTGGATTTCAAGTCCTGTTATTTAGAAAAACCTGTAAGAAGAAACATCAGAATTGTATGATGTTTTTAAATTCTAAGGCAGTGGTTCTCAAAGTGTGGCATACTTTTTGCCATGAGGTCAGTTTGCATGTGTGACCATAAGGGCAAAAACATTTCAAAATAATACTAGGACACTTATTTACCCTTTTCACTGTGGTTACATTTGCATTTTGAAAATTGCATTGCAAAAGCAATGGCTGGTAACTTAGCACAAACCAAGGCAGTAGCACTGCACTAACCAACAGTGACTATATTCATCGCAACTCAATCAGAAGGAAAAAGAATAATGTAAGAAAAACCAGTTTTACTCAAGAATGTCTTTGGGCCGGGCACGGTGGCTCACGCCTGTAATCCTAGCACTCTGGGAGGCCAAGGTGGGTTGATCTCTCAAGGTCAGGAGTTCGAGACCAGCCTGAGCAAGAGCAAGACCCTGTCTCTACTAAAAAAAATAGAAAGAAATGATCTGGACAAC